AACGACAAAATCTCATTTTAACAAATAATCTTTAAATTATTACGATTAATTATTGTAAATTGACCATAAATTATAATATGAAATTAATAAATTAAGGTCAGAGTATTATAAATAACAATAAAAATCTCAATTATCTCATTATCCAATAGTTTAAACACATAGAATCACATTCACGTCATACGTCAATTTTATTGTAAACCGACCTTAAATTTCATAATATAATACAAGAATTAACTAATAGAATTATTAATTTAAAAGTTCAAATCATAAAAATAGTAAAATATATGTTTTTCCAGAAGAAATAACAAAAAACGGAATATATCTATCCTTTTCTAAAAAGTTAAATCCTCATAAATAAACAAATTCTCTAAATAAAAATTTGAAAAATATACTCAAATAGGATCAAATAAGTAATAACTTATTAAATCAAAGTATAAAATTCAAAATTTTGTAAAATATTGCAAATAATAACGAAAAAAAAAAAGGAATACTTCTATCCTTTTCTAAATTTACGTATAATGTACCTTTTACGAAATATACGCATTATTACAACAAAAACTGTAAATTACATGAAATAATAATATTAAACACTAAATTTTAAATAATTATATAGTTAATTGATAAATAAACAATAACTAACAATGTAATCCCAAATAAAAATATCAAACATAAAGGTACACTCATCAAAACTACTGAAAATAAAAGTCTCTAGATAAAACACTAGATGATAAATATCAATAAATATATCATGGTGAATTTAAAGCTAGTGACTTCACAAACTACTTAAAATAAAATTCCCTAGATTCCACAAAAATCTAAATTCCCCATCCACATTTAAATTCATGCACAAGTGCAAGTAAAAATAATAATGAAACCCGTAATTATGGGCTTCTCTATATACACAAAGCCCATAAATACGAGCCATGAGTATTATGCCCATATTTATGTGCTCAACTTGCGGAGCTCATAAATACGGGCCAATCAAAAAAAAAAAAAGAAGAACTAATAAATAAAACACAGACACAAACAATTAAATTAAAAAAATTTTATTTATTATTAAAAACCTAAATTAAACATACAAAAAAAATTAAATCTAACAACTAGGCCCAAAACGGGCCTGACCAGGGAACAAGACGTATCTCGTCCCGTCCCCAGCGACAATAATTTTTAAATTAATGTAAGGAGGGGGTATAAAAACCCTTCCCCCTCCCATAAAACGGGTCACCAAAATATTCTGGTAACCATAATCTGAAACATAAAAACAAAATACTATTAATAAAACATATTAAATATGATAGAAAATAATAAATTAATTAAAACAAACAAAAAAAAAATATATAAATAAAATTATCACCTCCTTCATTGGGCCCAGCGTGCCTCCATCGACGCCCTTCCTCGTTAACATTATTATTATTTTCTAAAAGCACACAAAAAAAAAAATTTTTATTAATTACTAATAAAATGAGTAAATATTAAAATTAAAAATATAATTAATTAAAACAAAATGTCACTCACCTCCGTCCATCTCAATGTTTTGTTTTCAAATGAGTCATTTTCAAAAACTGATGATCCTTGCAAATTCTGAAGAAATAAAAGCCCTTAGATGAGATCATGAAAAACACAGCATCCAAATCAAATCAACAACCGATAAATAAAACAATATAATAATAAAATAATAATTCAAAAACAAATACAACTAACTAACAACAATATAAAATAACTGAATTCAAACACTAAACAACTAATTAATGAATCAAATTACCAACCGTCAAAATAAAGAAAACAATATGATAATATAACCACCAATTATCTAATATACCGACTGTTAATGAGACACGAAAATTCAAATTTTACCCCTATATTGAAGATAAATTTAACACAATATTATTAAAAATAATGTGATTATTAATTAATGAACAAAATGTTTATCAAGATGTAAATAATTATAAAAATCACATTATTACAAAACCTATATAATCATAAATATTATACTTATATTAATCACTCTATATAACAAGCAATAATACTAAAATGATAATTATATAATCAATACCATGCTTAATAAATAATTACAATAATTAATATATTACACCAAGAATTACATATTGATATTATTAAATAATCAATTAATATAACCCTTATTACTTATGAAAAATATAATTAAGAAATAATAATATTAAATAACTATATTACATTATCACCTATTATAATCAATATTTTAATTAATTATTAAAAATCATGAAGTAGAAAAAACACTTGGATCAAATAAAACACTACTTCAAATTTTCATTAAAATTAAGAAATATAATAATCAATTATAATAATACCATGTAATCAATCGCCCAATATTACAATCAACTATATGTATAAATATAATAATCAATAAAACAAAAAAAAAAATTAAAAGAAGGACGAAAGAAAAAGAAGGAAGGGGATTTGGCGGTCGCCTTCTTCTTTCCTCCTCATTTTAATAAAAACCTAAAATAAGAATAAAAACTAAAATATATTTGATGTTGCAGATGGAAATTCCATTTTTGGGACATATATCGGAAGCTGTTAATTATATGTCAATAGCTTTCAAAATATTATTATTATTGATAGCATTGATAGTAGTTAAAAACCTATACGTACTTTATAAAGTCGTAACAATGAGAAGACAAAGATCGAATAATCGATCCAACGTATAAACAACAAATATGGATTATTGGCCCAATTGCAGCCCACATACATTGAGGACAATGTACACTCTAAGGAAGGAGGACCAGGCCCAAAAATCCCGAAAAATTTGGAAAAATAAAGCCACTATAAGAGTTAAAACAACCAGGCTACTATAAAACTACAAGAAGCAGCGCGATTCAAATCAGCGCGCCGAAAACCTCAAGCCTACAACATCGATCGCATGAATAGATCTAAAGCTATGTATATATAGCGCATGCTTGATTCGGCAGCCATCATGAAAAAGCGGCAAATAATTTAAATTCAAATTAAAAATTTCGTAATTCATGATGGAAATCGAATAAAAATGCAAGGAAATTAACATTATTGCCTATAATTAATAAATATTCTTTAATAATTCTTAACTAACCTACAATCACTAAAATATTAACAACTAATCCTTATTAATCAATAAATAATCACTAATTATTAATTACAAAAAAAAATATAAATTATATCTATATCAATAAATATTATATCATTCAATTTAATAAAACATAAACTATAATAATTAATGATTAATTAGAATAATACTATATTAACAAAAAAAAAAAAATTTTTAAATTAATTAATTAAGTAATCAATAAACGCTAATAATTAAGATAGTTTAATTAACAATAAACAAGTTAATAAATAATAAATTGGTTAACTAAAATATTAACAACTAACAATTAACATAAAGACCAACTTGATTAAATAACAATGAATCAGATAAATATTTAATCAAAGTTGCATAATTAACCAATAAAATTAATAATAATTAAAATTACATAAATAATAACAATCAATATTAATTATAGAAATTAGATGAAAATAGCAAAAAAAAAAAAAATAATATAAGGAAAATTATTAAAAGGAATAAAAATTAAAATTTAAATAAATCATATATTATAATTATTGATAATATATAATAACCAATCTAATAGATTTTATTAACAACATACTAATAAATTATTAATAAACAATATAACAATTAATAATTATTGTTGCTTTAAAAGTCATATTTTGATGAAATTAGTAATTAAAAATTTTAAATATACAATAATTATGTGTAAAAGGGTAGACAATAGATTAATACATTAGCCTTTGCTATTATTAACAGTTATTGTTAATAATAAATGGCGTTAAAAGTCCCAACGTTGAGCTGAAGATATCAGAGAAGCATGAAAGTGTAGGAGGATCTCTCGCGACACAGTGTGTAGTCAGGCCCACGCCTCCTTCCCAATGATTGTATAGACAGTCCCACGCCTCTCTTATACGGTAAGCAAGATCGAGCGGCATTAAAGTCTCCAGCTCATGCACAACCCGATGTCGCTTACACTCTTAGTATACGTGAATTCTTGATACGATTCTCGACAGATGGTCTCAATATTATCGAACCATAATCGATTATTATTAAAATATCAATACAAAACTAAGCACCACTAGGTGTCGTATCAATTATTCACAAGTAAATCAATAAATAATTAAAAATATCAATGATTTTAAATCTTATTAACAAATGAAGGTTTTTCGTTCATAAAATTTATAATATTATTGATTATTGTTATTAATTATCAATTTAATAAAGACAATAATTAATTAAATGAAAGAAATTATGAGAAAATAAAATAACAAAACAGATAATTAGTTTAAAATTTCAACATATCTTTTACTACCAATTATTACGTTCAACTAGGCAATTAAATAAAATAAAAATGATTGAATTGATGTTTTATTAGCGGCAATGTATAATGAAACTAAAAATTTTATTATTATTTAAATTACGGTAAATTACGATGAAATAAATTCAAAAGGGTAAGGAATAATGGGACTCTGGCCGCATATAAATTCAAGGCCGACTTCACCATTTAACTAAGCGTTGAAGTCTCTCGATCTCCGCTCGAACACATGAACATACTCCCTGCATATTCATGCTCCTCGGATACTTTCTTCTTGAAACTGAGCGAAAATAATCGATTTAATCGATCATAGAACTAATAAAAATTTAAATTGAAGTATATGAAATATATATATATATACATATAGGTATATATTTAATGAAAATAATAAAAAGTCAATTATACAATTTATCAACGCAATAACTAGTAAACATAACAAGAAATATTTTATAGTACATAATTAATAGTTTAAAGTAAATTCTGAAATAAAAGAGAAAACATTTATAATTGATAAATAAATATTGATATTAATAATAGATAATATTAATTTGAGTAATTAAATAAGTTTTAAATGATTATTAAATAATTAATGAAATTTAGAATTCAAAATCAATAAAAAGGGATCAAAAGACACAAGGAAACAAAGTAAAACACCGATGATGTCACGTTAAATAAATTTATTATAAAATGAATTATTGTTAGAAAGTATATATATGTGTGCATGTTTGTGAATATGTATAGGTTTGTGTATAAAATTATATATATAAAATAATTCGTAATAATTAATTCACTACGTCTATCTCTTCTTCATCGGATTCAACCCTCGTTAGGATTGCGACGTCACCACCACAAGCACATATCGAATGTCTCCGATCTATCAAGACGAATTTTCCACAACGACAGAAACGTCCGTTCTTACCCCGCAAACTGAAATAAAAGGAGAAAACACGATCTATAAAATTTCAAATAATTCACAAATGAGAGAGAAGAAATAAATATAGATTCATAAATTACCTTATGAGATTCGTCCTATTTTGTGATGATACAATAAGGGCTGTGACCAAACGCATCAATCTTTTTTCCAATTTCGACTTAAAAGTTTTCAATTTTCTCGATTTCCTCGAATCCCCTTTCACCACCGACCAAGAGGCTGACACCTTGCGAAAAACAACTTTCAGCTGCGAGTCAGGACATCTTATCATCCGATAATTTGGAATAAATCCTCGGGAACATCTTAACTCTTTTATTTCCCGGGATATCCTGTGTAATTCAGTAACGCCAAAAATTATTTGAGCCAATAGTTCTATTTTGAAGGGCCGACGAGAAAAGGCACTATTGAGAAAATCTGCAAACAATAAAGTAAACAAACAGGGGTGAAATATAATAAAAACTAACATCGTATCAAGCACACTCACATATACACATATTAAGAAAGAAAAGTTGATATTCACAAATAGTCAATATTGTATCCCCGGAATATCAGCAACATTTTACAGTTAAAAATTAATTGTTTTAAACTAGCAGTCGAGACACGCACTAAAACACCTTGTCGATTCGCGTCTAAGGCACTCACAATTATAAATTCATTTAAAGAATATTCAATGCCTGTGATATCACTAATCAAACGACGCACTGTTTCTGCTGCTCCCTCGACAGGCATTTTCCATATAGCAAATTGAAAAATGCCCATACGTTCTTCCAATTCCACCATGCGTAGTCCTATAAGTCTTTGTCTGGATACGTTAGCAGTCAATAAATGATCCAACTGTGGAATTATCGGAACATCTATTGGAATATTCGATGCGTGCCAATGTCCTTCTGATCTTGAAGTAGAAGGAACAGGATCAATTTCCCTAACTGTCACATTTTCCACTTGTGGCATCACAGTTGCTTGAATGTTATCAGTATTTCTCAATGGTTCAAGAACATTGAGATCAAATAAGTCCACATAATCTGACACATCATTGTCAATCTCTTCAATAGAATCACTCATATTATAAATAAAGAATAAAAAAAAAAGGAAACAATGAAAACACACACAAATTAAAACAAAACAAAACTAATCAAAAAACACTATTACCATGAGAAACATCTCGATTTAACAATAGAGGAACTGGTCTCATTGTTTGAACATAAAAATCAACCAAATCAACCGTGGAAGCGTCACTAACTGAACTGTTATCACTCATAGCTAATGAAGAACTAATTACAAAGGACTTCAACAGTATAAGTGGGGACGACAGATCCTGATATCATCAGTCAAAAATTTGATGAGCATGAAGATTCTCACGATTTTGAACAACTCAGTTGGACCGAGGGATACCCGAGAAACCATGTTTTGAAAACAACTTACCTTCTTCTTCGCCATTCTCAATTTTGAACACGTACTGCACATGATGTATAATTTAAACACTTATCTATTACACTTAACTCAAAATGTTCTTCGTCAGCAACATTACATCTTTTATAATTAAAAGGCAAAATTGTAAAATTTATGAAAAATTTATGTACTAAAAGTACATGTCCATCGAGGACGATGAACAATTTAAGGAGGGAGGACTGTTATATCCCGACATATTTCAAAACTTATAAATTTAATAATTTCTTTAAATAATCAATTAAATAATATTATAAATGTAACATTAGCCATGCCTAAAAACATAATTTAAAAATATTACATTGTCATTTTATATTTCAAATTAGAAAAGCATAAAAATAGAAAAGCATAATTAAATATTTTAATATTTCATTCATGTGAGTCATTAACACTTGTTACTACTCATATGAATGAAAGAGTAAGATGAATCTACGAACTATGTTTTTACGACAAGTGTAAGGCCATGAATGAAAGAGATGACGCATGATAAAAAGAAAATATAAAAAGAATAAACGCATTCATAATGCATATACTTAATATTAATAAAATTAATTGGTAATTGGTTTATTGGTTCGTTCAGTTGTCGATGTGTAACATTATCACCAAATTGTAAATATAAATACATTCAAATTGATCGAATCAGAGATAAATCGATTATCGACAATCGATTAATCGATTATCGATTGTTGATTCGATTAATGAACTAAATATGCATATCGATGTTTGAATTGGACGAATAATGGATCTATTAGCAATTATAAAATTAAATAATCAATAAAATGAAGATATAATAGAATAAAAAGATCATATTACATATCGTACGTGCCTGAAATCGTGCATGGCGTACGTGACTAAAACGGTGCATGGTATACGTGTCTAAAACGGCGCGTGGTGAAAACACCCAAAACAAAATGTTTCCACCACTTAACATCCCCAAAATGCATTAGATTAGAAACTATATAAGCTGCTGTAAAAAGCAGAACCATTTGCAAAAGTTCCGGTGTAGTTCAGTGCGGACAGTATCATTGTAGAGCGACCCTTCGGTTAAAACGCGATTTATTGTATTCTTTCCCGTAAAAAGGTGCAAGTTAGATTATTTATCACTTAGAAACAAGTTTCTTTCCCCTAAAAAGGTGCAAGACAAATAATTTAACACTTAGAGTTGATAATTTTGCTATTTTAACTGTCGTATTTGTGATTAATAATTAATAGTATAAATTTCACTAATTCTTTCCATAAAGGTGCAAGTTATAATCATTTGTCACTTAGAAACAAGTTTCTTTCCCCTAAAAAGGTGCAAGATAAATAATTTAACACTTAGAAAACGTGAAACTGTTATTTTAGCACAAAAACTGTTATAAAGTTGTGAATATTACACAAGTGTAATAAAACAAACTTTCAGTTTCATTCAATTGAAACGAGTTCAAAACAAGAAAACCAATTATAACAACCCTGCGATAATTTTGTCAACGAATCTGTAATTAAACGTAAGTAACAATTTGTAACAATTGTAACTTTCTTCTTACTATAAACAATAAATTAAATAAAAGGAATATTTATCTTGTTATTAACGCAAAGCCCATAGTTTTGACAGGTGATCACGATCCTACAATAAAAATAAAGATCAGGCTTTACCAACCTGATTAATCAGCTAACTGGTTTTAAAATCTATTTTAAATAAATTATTTAATTTTATTTAAAAGCCTCGCTCTTGCTCGGAACGTAACATAGAGAATAACTTAACTTTGAAATAATATAGTTTTCACAGCACTAATATATAAAGTTAAATTTTTACACACCGAAAAGTATGTGCAAAGAATCTCTTTATAACGGTCTGTAACGCACAGTTTTTTTTTCATTATACACTGTTTTATCTTTTCATGATTATGTATGTATGCATTTATTACTATATTGAATAAATTGTATACTGCCCTCCACCGCACAAAACCATACCATATAGTATAGTATAGTATAGTATAGTATAGTATAGTATAGTATAGTATAGTATAGTATAGTATAGTATAGTATAGTATAGTATAGTATAGTATAGTATAGTATAGTATAGTATAGTATAGTATAGTATAGTATAGTATAGTATAGTATAGTATAGTATAGTATAGTATAGTATAGTATAGTATAGTATAGTATAGTATAGTATAGTATAGTATAGTATAGTATAGTATAGTATAGTATAGTATAGTATAGTATAGTATAGTATAGTATAGTATAGTATAGTATAGTATAGTATAGTATAGTATAGTATAGTATAGTATAGTATAGTATAGTATAGTATAGTATAGTATAGTATAGTATAGTATAGTATAGTATAGTATAGTATAGTATAGTATAGTATAGTATAGTATAGTATAGTATAGTATAGTATAGTATAGTATAGTATAGTATAGTATAGTATAGTATAGTATAGTATAGTATAGTATAGTATAGTATAGTATAGTATAGTATAGTATAGTATAGTATAGTATAGTATAGTATAGTATAGTATAGTATAGTATAGTATAGTATAGTATAGTATAGTATAGTACATCACAGTACAGTACTACAGCACAGCACCACACAGCATAAAATAGTACTTCTTTGTACTATACTACACTTTCGTCACTCTTTAACCTCGAAAGTTGCTGCTTCGGAGCAGAGTTATGTTGAAAAAAAATGTTGTATGCTACTCGCGCGTAAAGTTGATTATACGAGGGTGTTTTTTTTTAATAAAAGAATGAATAATGGTAATATAATATTGTATGATAAATTTAATAGTTTGTATATTTATTGTAATTTATTTTTTACTTGAAGACAACTCTAATAGTAGAGTTGAGTAAGATTCGTTATACTCTTCATTCAAGAAGACTGATCTTACTAATCCTTTGTAAAGGGTAACTGTTAATATACTCGATTTAACTAAATGCATGTACACACAGGATACATTCCTTTTCTTCGATAAATAGCTAGCGAATTTGAAAATAGGGTATCAAAATTACACCACCACGGAAATTTTCTGATACTTGTAAAGGAAATTTAAGGAAAATCATTTAAGCAAAAATTTATTTAATATATTAAAAATAAATTCAAACAAAAGACCTTATTTACCTATTTCTTACAATTAATAAGTTTTTCTTTTTAGGAAAGTGTTTGAATGAGATAGAAGAATAAATAATAAAAAAATTGCATAATAAATGTAATTATTTTGAATATTTTTCTTAATAATTTTTTTTTAAGGAGCTCTAATAGTAAGGGACAAGTAAGATTCTTTTTACTTTTCATTTAAGAAAAGTGACCATACTAATCCTTTTGTAAAAGGCATTTAATAGTTTACTTGATATAAATGCGTGTATGTGTACACAGTGTATATTTTATGTTTACAATAAAATGGATAGTGTATTCGAAAATAGAGTACTGAAATTTCACCACGACGGAAATTTTTTTGATACGTGTAAAGAAAATTTTTTGTAAAGATAAGAAAACATATTTTACTTTTGTTATAATAAATTGTAGGGTAGAAAGAATGTCATAAGTCACAAATTTTGTAATATGCAAATCATAGTTCGTCTTTCGTCTCTTTAGATGCGTGGACCAGGTGTCATGATCTTATAGAAATCTGATACGCAATGTTGAGATACGAGCAATTCACAGAGGATTCGCATATTAAAATTTTATTACTGAAAATTAGAGACAAATAACAAGTAAAGAAATTTAAAGAGTTTAGAAAAAATCTTATTGATTGATCGGTTAATTGATAAAGCAGTAAAATTATCCCCATAAAGAATATCTACGGTCATACCAAACCATTTCTTTTTTTTTTAATGACAATCTCTATGATATCCTAAATAGGCAATTTTAGTATATCCCATGGATATTCTCTACATTAAGGAGAATAACTCATTCACACATTCCAGGTTATCCCTCGGATACTTCGAGGGTGCAATTTGTGCATATAAATATAATCATCAAAAAACTTAAATATTATTAAAAAAAAATTCCATTATCAACCGTGGAATATCCTAGAAATATTCCAAAAAAATTTAATTTAACAACATGGTATATGTTCCGAATTAAGTTATTTACGAAATTGCAATTATATTAAAATATCCACGCAACATCCCTAAGATATCCCAAGAATATCCTCCTAATTTTTTAGTTTTATTTCCCCTTTTTTTTTTAAAATTTTTTTTTTTATTTCAGGTTTTCCATTTCTTTTTCTTTATTTCATTTTTTTTTACTTTTTTTCTTAGTTATGCTATTTTTTTATTTATATATATATATATAATTTTTTTTTAATTTCATGTGTCTTTAAATGCGATTAAAATTATTATTAAGTTAATAAAAAAATTTGTATGAAAATTAAACGTAATACTATAGTCCGCTAGACACATGAAACATTATCAATGACGTGTGTAAGAATACCACTGAAACAATATTCTTGAAAAGGATATAGAAATTTTAAAAACTGATTGAAACAGAAAGAAAACTTGTTTATTTACTGCAAGCACGATGGAAAAGCCTGGAATTGATCAAATTTATATCCTTGTAATCAGTAACTGTTCTGATTATTGTTATTTAATTTAGAAAAGACATAAATTTTAATTTTTTTATTAAATTTTGAAAGTTAATTATATTTAAAACTCCTGAAACTTCAAAGTATAGAAAGCTAAAAATTTATTAAATCAATTACTTTGCTAATTAAAGATTTTAATAATTACAAATAGTTTATTAATATAATTTTAAAAAAAGGTGAATTATACTTGCAGAACTTATCAAATTTGGAAAACGATCCCATCTTTTTAAATTTGAGATTAAGTAGATAAGTAAAAATGGACAAATTTGGGAGTTTATTCTTAATAAATAAAAAAATTGTTTTCTTAAAGGATTGTAGAGATTTTATAATTATGTTTATAGAAGAAAGAAGGAAAAGAGAAGAGAATAAAATTCTATTTTTAAACAGTGTAATAAACTTAACAGATTCAACACGGAGGCTCTCCTAGACGGGAAATCGGTACTTACAACGGCGCTTCCTAGTGTAAAAGGAAAGAAGAGAATAACATTTTCTTCTTTACAAATTTCAATTTGAAATTCACCAGGATTCGACCAGAAGTTTTCCCAATCTTGCGGCCTTGTACCCACAACCGGCGATTTTGACTTACTAGTCGCTATAATCAGTTAACACTAATTCTAGCGATTACGTGTTTATAACACCATTTTTTTTACAATTTCTATTTGAAAGTTTTATTCTTTACAAATAATTGAATGATATTTTATAGGCCAAATTTTTAAGAAAATGAATATAGAAGTTATGAATAAAATAAACTTACATTAAATTACGTAAAGTTTCATAAAAGAATTAATATTGTCCAGAATAAAACTCATTTCTATTGATGATTGGATTTCTGTATTCAATGCCTTTAGGTTGATCGAGTCGTCATCAACGACAATAGTCGGAGAGCCAAGATCAGATTAGAAATAAGTCATCATCAACAACTGACGTCAGAGAGACAAATTTCTAATTTACTTGAGACAGAGTTGTTCATATTTTCCAATTAGCGATAGGAGTTCTAAAAGAGGATCAATAAAATATTAGAATTCAATGTCTTAGTCATTAAGTCATCATCAACAACTATAGTCGGAGAGCCAAAATCAAACTTGGATTAAGTCGTCATCAACAACAAAAGTCGGAGAGCCAAATTCCAAGTTCTTTCCAAAACAGAGTTCCTTATATATATATATTTTTTTTAATTTTCTCGTAGTAATTAAGGAAGAAAGAAATTTTTTTTTAATTACATTTGATCTGTACTTTAGTAAAAATAATAAACGACATTTAAAAAATAAAGAATAACAATTAAAAATAGAAAATTTTATAAAGTCTAAAATGAAATGTAGAATAGGTAAAAATTAGATTATAGTACTAGAAGGTTAAGTTAAAATTCCTTTTAATTAAAAATGGTGCCACTGGTAACAAATGTTACCAGGTAACGAAGCAGGGCGGTAACGCGTAGGAAAATCCCACCGCTGCCACCATCAGCTTGTTACAAACCAGAATAATAAATTTATGTTGTTTCTTTTATTCGAGCTTTTGAGATGGCTCTTATTTAAATTCGGTTTGGGGAGGCACCAAGCTGCCAGGGTCTTTAAGGCCCTGTTTAATTGTGTGGGTTCGTGATCCTACTTTTAAAAGTTACCGTTTCTGCTTTGTTTTAACTCTGATAAATAATTATTTCAATTTACTTTATTTATTTCAGGAGTTTTAAAATAAATAAAATCAGATTTGGCATTCACATTAAAATTTTATTTTAACAAGATTTTAAGAAATTTACAAACTTGCACATGTTTGAAAGAGAATTAAAGTTGAAAGTAACATTAAATCATTGAAACGATACAGACTTACCGCTAAAATCCTTAATCCTACCGACAGGGCATAATTTCTCTTATACGGCGCAGGTACTGCGCGTACGGACTGGCCAGTCGAGAAACAGGGATCCTCCATCGGGCAAAACACAAGTTGAATGTCGAAAATTAAGTCGTCTATGCGACCAATTTTTATTTACGCGAACTCGCGAATTATATGGGGCCACTGCATTGAGACGGCGCAGGTACTACACGTACGGACTGGCCGGGTTAAGAAACAAGATTCACAATTGTTAAATATTTAATTAATTGGAATCTCACTCAAAACAGCTCTCACTGGACTC